AAGGCTCCATTTGTAAAATGGGGTCTTTATTTTTTTTTGGTTAAAATATGAGATTTCGTAGGAAGGCTCCATTTGGCATTCTGAGGCTTTAATCGATTTTGTCGCAAAAATTTGTAGGGTTCGCCCCCTCCTACTACTTATATTGATGTTATGATGTATATATGATTTCATTTTGCAGGGTTTTAGTGAAATGTTAGTCACGAAATTTTATTCTTTTATTTTCTAATTATCATTTGATTGGAAGAATTGACAAGATTGCATGTAATTGAATGTCCATTGAGAGAATTGGCAAGATTGCATGTAATTGAATATTCGATACATAGGAATGCGTAGGAATTTGTATGAGTTTAGCCTAATAAATAATGGGTAAGGTTTTGTAGATTATGAATTAAGTCTGTGTAGAGTGCCATGTATTGCGTGTATATTCATATACTAGTTCGTAATATTTAAATGATCATGTAAGCTATTTTAGAATAGTTAGATTTGATGGGCTAAGCCACATGTATCTTAACACTAGGTTTTATTAATGTAAGAAGTCAAGGAGTGTTAAATATGGGCACATACGTGCTGTTCATGAAACGGTAGTGGAATCTAATGTTCCCCGCTAACGTGACCCGAATTAAGGTCATGATACATGTAATAGACGTCTCTGTTTGTAATATAGAAATTAGTGAACGATTGAGTAAACAGAATTATGCAGTTTATTTTCTGAGCTTGGAACGTACAAATATAGATATATGCTTGGAAAATGTGGCCTATTGTTTATAACGGAACAGATTATGTATTTAAGGAAACAGCTTCCTGTGCAAATTTCGAATACCTGAATAAATTCTGAGCAAACTCTACGGCAATATTCATTAGAAGAATTCTCAGCCAAATTCTAGGTCTAGAGACGATCGTCAAATCGTTCACGTTTCGACTGGCCAGGTCCAGGTCCAGACGACTAGAGAAAAGTTGGAAGTGCAGGAAGAAACGGAAAATTCGATGTCCGTATAAGATAGGTGATAATTTCATTCATCTTTGATCTCAAGGTCACGACTCGTAGGCTATGATGAAACAGTATTCATTATGTCACTGACAAGTAATAGTAAAGTAAAAATTCGTATTGCTTTTACTGAGTACATGTTAGAACATTTTCTTCTTTTGTAGCAAAGAAACTGATTTCTTCGATTTGAAATTCTGTTGTTGAATTGATTAAATTTTATATTTGTTCATTGAAAGGGGGCTCGTTGTTTTTTTTTTTTTCAATATACTTGCTCAGAGATCTGTATTCGTCTTTCAATCCATCCACACCGAGTAAATTACCCCGCTGGATGTCATGCCCTAGCAACGAACAGTAGAGAAGTTTAGCGTTTGAACGCCACCAATTTACCACAACCCGTCCATTTTTTAATATTGCGTGTAAACTCATCGGACGGTCCAAACAGCAATTCTAAGTATAGTTTTAAGCTGTTGGTTTATAGAATGCAGCATCACGTGGCTCATACAGCTTGTGTTATAAAAAATAGGTAAATGGTAAAAGGCAACACGTGCCTAGTTCCTGGAAAAAGGTGTCGCATGCACATGTATCTTTGGATTGCAAGTACTAAATAAGCTGGCCGCGTAGAATAGCAGTTGCATATTGAAAACCGCTGTGTAATTCGTTGTGTGGAAACATGTAGAGCAAACAATTTTACCAGCTGAATAAAACCCGCTAAAACTTAACCTGTGATTTCCTTTTCCTTTTTGTGGTATAAATACATAATCTCTCTCTCTCTCTCTCTCTCTCTCTCTCTCTCTCTCTCTCTCTCTCTCTCTCTCTCTCTCTCTCTCTCTCTCTCTCACACACACACACACACACACACATATATTATAATGACTACAATTAAACTTTGTATATTTTGTGAAACACCACAACGGTCTTAGCATTCTTTGTTTGGAAATTTTTAATCCCTTGCAATACACGTACGTGAGTGCCTTTTAGTAGGCGTCTTTGTATATTGAAGTAGAAGCTACCATCCAAGACATAGAGAGGTGCATTTCTGATGTGAAATCATGGATGACATGTAACAAGCTGCCAATGAATGATGATAAAACTAAAGCCATCCTGATTACAACAAAAATACTTTCTTATTCACATCCTTTACCTCAGACAATAAATATCAGCAACACCATCGTTAAATTCAAGCAGTCAGTACGAAACCTCAGTGTCACTCTTGACAGTACTCTCTCATTGCATCAACATGTCATGAACATGTGCCGGGCTGCATATCTTGAGCTGAGACGCATCGGCTCCATTCGCAAGTATCTGTCAGTTGATGCCACTAAAACACTTGTGTGTTCTTTAGTACTTTCAAGACTGGACTATTGTAATTCAATTATGTCTGGTTCATCTCAATATTTACTTCAGAAACTTCAAAATGTTCAAAACACTGCTGCTCGTATCAACCTTAGAGTACCACAATCAGAGCATGCCTCTCCGCTGCTCTGCATCTTACACTGGCTATCCATACGATCCAGAATGAAACTCACAATTTGTTCACTGTGCTACGTTTCACTGACGGGCTCCAGTCCAACATGTCTATCTGACCTCACCCATGTATCTAAACCTACAAGATGCTTACGCTCCTCTCCTGACACTCACATTCTCAATATTCCCTCCATGAAGTTGCAATCATATGGACAACGTTTGCATACCAGGTCCCAGCAACGTGGAACGAATTGCCCACTGCACTTAGACACAATGACAGTGATCCCATTCAAGAGCGCCCTTAAAACCATCTATTTTAACTGCAAGAACCGTCATAATGACCTAATAATGTATCATTTTAACGTATCCTTACCTTAAAAAATTACAGCATGTTTTTCTGTATCTAATTTTGTTGTGTTTGGTTTTATTTTTGTAATCATTTCATTATATATGTTTTTTATTCCTTTTAAGCGTTGTCAAATGTTGTACAGCATTTAGAACTTCTAAAGATTAGGCGCTATATAAAGTACTCATTATTATTATTATTATTATTATTATTATTATTATTATTATTATTATTATTATTATTATTATTATTATTATTATTATTATATTGAACGGCATTATGTACAACTTAAAAAGATTAAATCCTGTACTATGTACTGTAACTGAGCTAACAGATAAGTTCCACATGCTGAAGTGGACGTATACAACTACGTAATTTTATTGCTTTGACTTATAACTGGACAATAATACTTAACCAGTCCACTACAAATCATGCAAATCATGGTGTAAGCATTCCACTACGACTACGTTCTCCTGTCTGGGACGCACACATCGTGAAAAGGATTAAGGTCAACCGTGGGAACGTGAGTTTATGTTTTAAAAAGACACCCTACCCCAACCCCAACCCCAACCCCCAAACACACATGATGCATGTACTGTATGCTCGGCCAGCGAGACACGGCCGTAGAGAGCGATCACGGTGTAAGAAACATCCAGGCCTCTCCTAGTTCTCGTTCCAACAACTTTTTTTAAAAAAAATATAAAATCAAAAAGTGTTTTTCAGCCCAAACAACACAGGATATGTCCCCGGTTGCCACCACCTCTTGTATATCCTGAACGTTGGTATGTGTGAATGCTTATCAATAGCTTCAAGTGGGTCTGCTATTCTTCGCGCGGTTTTTTCCAGGTTCTCCTTCTACCGGTCATACTGGCCGTCATGTTTAGCCATTGATTTGCTGACGACTGACGTTAACTCCAAACAAGTACATTTCTTACATGATACGCGTTCGTTAGAAGGAGGGGAAGGTAACTAGCAAAGATCAGGCTTTCGACAGTCCTACCGAAATCAGTGTAATATTAAAAGAGGCATTGGAGTCCACAAAACTTTACTGTTATTATTTATTTTCTAATTTTAACATTTATGCAATGATTATAAAATAAGACGTTTTAGTGTATCCGAGATAAATAAATAAATAAATAAATAAATAAATAAATAAATAAATAAATAAATAAAATAAGGCTTTAGTATCGGTTACTAAAATATGACAAGAGATAAATTACTTTGCAACAAAAGAAAATGAAACACCAAGTTCGCATATTTTTTTTTCCGGAAGAAAGGAGTAACACTTGAATTCAACATAAAGTCAGCGTCGTAGCCAGTGTATATATGGTGGCACACGCGTGACATATTAAAGTGATGTAACGCTGGCATCAATAAGCATTCTATCAATATAGATTACAACGATAATATGTACTCGCGAAGGTACCTGAATATGCCTACATCCCTGACATTTATATGACATAAGAATCCGCCCTCAAACATTTTGTTCTTATCCTGTCTTCTTCTTAAAGTACATCATATAATTAAATAAATATTGAATATTAAAATGTAACTAACATATGTATCTATATACAGATAAAATAATTCAGTATAAAATGTAACTACGGTATATACAGATAGAGCCATATATGTGTGTGTGTGTGTATCTATGTATGTATAAATTCCAACAAATTAATTATGCAAATGAAGCTGAAAATTTGTCACAAGATTCTGTTCAAAACGCTTAATAAATATTAGCTTTAGTTTCAGACTGCTTCTTATACTAACTCTCCCGGCCGTGACTGACTGCCCCCACCCGGGAAAAATCTTGAACCCCCGACGCAAAGTTCTGACCTCTTCTGCAAAAAATCATACGGGTGATTATGGATAGAGCTATTGAATCTAAAGATTGAACTACCACATATACGGACTGAGCCACTTAATCTGTGTTTGTATGTTTCTGTGTGTGTATGTGTGTATGTGTCCGTCTGATTGGGATTTTTAACGTAGCTTTAACACTTGTTAGTCATATCGCTACGATGTTTACAGTGCTGCACTTTATAGTGTCGTATATAACGGTGGCATCATGATCCAAGCATGTAGCCTCATGTCCCACCCAGCTACATGATCCTGACACTAGGCCGGCCAGTCCTAACACTAAGCTGTTACTGTTGAGGGCCTGTCGAGGCAGGTGTAGGTACCATTTTTTAAAATAAGTTTATGGTGTGACTTGGCCGGGGTTTGAACCCGCGACCTCCCGCATTTGAGGCAGACGCTCTAACCATTATGCTACCGGGGCGGTTTTCACTGAATTTAAATATGTAACTACCACATATACAGATAGAACCAAAGGGTTAAGAGATGTAACTACAGAAAAAAAGATACAATTTCCGAATGTCCAGACAAGGCGAATGACTACAAAGAAAAAAATTTCAAACACCAAATATTAAAAAAGGAAACTGCTATGGTTAGTTTAAAAAACTCAAAGATAGATTCAACACTCTCGAACTAAATTGTGGCTTGTGACTGCGCCTATTTTAAAACTTTCCCACTAATATGTCATGTGAATAGTCATAGTTCTGAAGAGTAAGCGACCGTATTTTCTCTTCTTACAAGAAAATATTCGTTTGTCTAATGATATTCAAATATACCGTCACGTGTTATAGTTTTGTTATGCGGCAGTTGAGCAAGCTATTCTGAAAATAGGTATTTGATTAATCAACCACCTAAAACCCCGCAGAAAAAGGAGTGGCGAAAAGAAAATTATTTCAACAACGTACTAGAAAGCGATCATGTCAACAAACATTTTGACAGGTAGCAAATTAGAACGGTCGGTAAAAAGAAATGAATCAATTACTACAATTTCACTCGAATTCGCTTTATGTTGACTCATTCGAATTGGGAGCTGTTAAAAGAAAATAATGTAAAAATATATCAAAATAAGATCTTAAAATACGTTTATTTTTTAATAGATATTTCTTTGTTCCTTTTCTGAGAATAATAGCATATATGAATTGTAGGTGTAAAATTTATGTTTTGCACATGCGAATAGACTAGACTTGAAAAGCTTCGAAGATTCCTGTAAGATTTCTTTAAAAGCAAGGTTGATAAATTCAGGTCGCATTGACACACTGATAATTTCTAAAGCTGAAATTTAATTAAAATAGTGCAAAACTGAAATCACCCACATTTATATCAACGGGGAGATTCGTACTAATTGTTCAGGTTGATAAATATCAAGACGCAAAAACATTTGACTATCTAAATAATACTTAAAAATAAAGGCCAAACCCGTCTATACTCGCTAAGTTGAGTCCAACTGCATGGATACAGAGCTATCGTTGCATACTGCTCTGGCATATCTGGGTGTATTGTAGTTTGTTAGGAGTAAACAGTTGAGCAAACGCCATGCGACAGGAGCAAACGCCATGCGACAGATGATCAGGGTCTTTATTGTTTGCAATTGGACTCGACCTATAAGTGAGTATTAATGGTAGATAGGACACCGCTCAAAGTAGGCCTAATCTGACGTGTGGATCAACCGTATCGAAACTATCTTGCATGTACAGTGTTCTCGTATTTCGAAATGCAATCAGTCGATGACAATAAATTAGAACGTCCGGAATATCACGAGAAAGCAATTTTCGCAAATATTTGGGAGTAAAAGGTGATAATGAATCTCAGATTGTATCATCCACGTTCTTTGGTCTATCAGTGATTTTTAGGGACAAAGGTTGTAAAGGGAAGATAAAGCATTGGTCACGTGCATTTTGGGAACGCTATTGGTAACCGATCTGGAACGGTGGCCTTGAAATTTTAGAAGGATAATGCAGATAGATGATTCGCACATTGTCATAATTCAAATTTTCAATGGCCAAAGAAAATGTGTACCTGATTTATGAGGATCATTTCTCCGCTACTTGACTGTATCAGGTTTCTATGTCTAAGAGGTGTATAAGGTAGTAGATGTAGTGTCCTTCTTGTGAAGGCTTGCATGTTAAATGTAACACTTAAATTGAGGTCATTAGCATGGGTAATTGGGTGACCAAATGCCCGAATATAAGGATGATTTGCAGTAGATCATAAATCAGTCCAAAGGTTAACACTTCGTCGTACGTGTGTTAAATACTTCGTCAGGTTACAATTTAACATACGGAGAAAGTCAATACGTTGATACGTCCGAAAAGTTTTTTTTTTTAACAGCTATTCTAAACCCATCTCAGATTTAGTTTTGAAATCGAATCCTTTCTTATGATTTGAGAAGAACTACCTCTCTTTTGGTGAGAATGTAAATAACTGATGACATACGAGAAAAGCAAGCAGTACACACGCGTATTTTACCAAGTGATTTTTTAACCCGACATTCCACCCGGCTCTAATTCTAATGCTACGAAGTGGACCCAATATGTTAAATTTTATTTATGATAGACTTAACATTTGAGGTCGTCATGACCTGTGAAGCATCGGATATTCTTCATTAGGTATATACTGTCACTACCATCCTGTCGCGTTTGAAATCCTCATATATGGTTAAGATGGGCGCTAAAAATAGTTTCCAAGCAACAAATAAAATCTATACAATCCAATATATGTACAGGTGTTATTCAAATGCATTTTTGCACCGAAAAATTGTTCCTAAGAAAATGGTTCAAAACTCAAGAATGCTATTAATTAGTAAGTATGAAATTTGGTCTAAAACAAAAGAAAACGGCACAGCTATAGACAATGTAGGACTACAGACATAACAATGGTGAAAAAAAAAAACAAGTCTCACAACTTTGTGCTTGATTAAAACACAAATAAATTATCCACCGCACACTTGAGCAAGAATTAAACCTATGGATTTAAACCGAAAAAAAAATCAGGCAGAGTAGTTCTGCTTGAGATATAAAGTATTTATAGGTTACTGCATTTGTATGGGAAAATATGAATGAGTTTTTCGGATGGTGTCATTGCACGACCTTGGGAGTGCAATATATCCATCCGACAAAATAAGTTCATATTTTCCCCATACAAATGCAGTTGTCTGCCAATTTAATGGTATTGAAGTGTGTTGACATCGGCATGCGTGTTTCTGTTCTGTTGTTGAATGATTCAGATCATAATGTGGTAAAATTATGAAGCCTTTCAATTGCAATTATAAAAAAGATGATGTTGGATTTATTGTTTATTTTATTTTGAGTGCAGTAAAGAGGATGTAATTGCGCTTGTAATATACTCGAAACTACAGTACAATTGCGAACTGTGTTCAACTTTGAGAACCCATGAGATGGCTCATATAATTCGGATTTGCAGAACTAAGAAAGTACATTTTGAGGAAATTCAAGTTGTAAAAATGTGAGTATATTTTTCCCATTGTTTATATTACCAGCTAAAGATGACAGTTTATGTCTTATTACTTGCGTACTATTGTGAAGATCCTGTTTGGCGTCTATAGGTAGTCTAAATCTGAAACATTGTATCAAAAAAAGTTAACGCTGAATGTGCCAAGCAGTTTGTATGTGTCAGTCTATGAAACACTAGTTGGTATGTGGCGGTCCATGAAATATCTTCCTTAGTTCATTCATAAAAAAAAAATTGTTTACGCTATACAATATTTCCGTTCTTCACGTACATATAGTATGAATGCTGCACGAGGCGTGCAATAACGGGAAATACTGAATGATTATCACAATGTAAAGTCAACGGAGAAATAAATGAGCATCTAATAAATTGATATATACAATGCAGTAAAAAAAAATTTCGGTCTTATTTTTGCAGAAGTCGCATACATGCTACCGTGACACTGTACTGAAGGTCGTACCAAATATAAGAAAGAGACATAAATAGTCTGTACACTATATAAATATTAGTGTCAGTGTTAAATTTTTATAACACTTTCGGAAGTGGTTGACCAAGCGTTCAATACTATTTTTTTTGCACTAACCGTGTCTTACGATCCATTACAGTCTGAATATAAACTAAACACAAAACCGTATTACATAGATTCTGTGTAAGGTAAAGGTCCTTCAAGCGAATGCAATTTTAGCTTCATTTAACCTTTTTCTTAAAGCGAAAGTTTATTTAGTTTTATCAGTTCGTCTTCATTTATCGAGGTGATTTGCTTCTTTGAACTCTGGGACAACGTGTTTTGAAAACTACAGCACTCTGTTTCCTTTTAAAGGTTCGGGACATCTGAGAGATTTATTGTCATATCGGGTTACGCGAAACGTCTCCACGGATCAAATCTAGATGTCTACTTTGACAAGAGGGATAAGAGAGACGTATCATACGCAAGACTTTCCATGTTCGTGTTTTTCCCCCGGGGTCGAAACCTTTGACCCAACGTAACCTGCGTGAAGCACCTTAAGATTAATTGCTTTCTGGCAAAGAGACATTGATAATTTTAAGATCCTATTGGTTTGTGTAGAAAGCAAACTTTTCCTGTGATCTATTGTAATTTCTAATGTTCAAAAGCAGCTACAAAAAACCCTCTTCCTATAAATTGATTCCAGAAACGAAAACGACAAGAAAATTTGATTTTTTTTCATGTGCCTTATTTCAAGGCGTTTGAGACAGTCGGAAATGTACAGCAATTTAGGTTTTAGAAGATGAGTGGATTGTGGTTTATACTTGTATGGTTTAGTACTTTTACGCAGGATAATTTTGTGCCATCTTTTTTTTTGAATTGATGAAACAAATATTGATATCCCCTTGAAAAACTTATCACGCTTTGTGCAATTAACATTACAATAGTTCTCTCCTCTTATAGGTCATCTGTGAGAAGTTGTACCTTAACACACAGTCACCAATGAATAATTCTAAAAAATAATTCGAAGAAAGTTTGTTGTCATTGAGTCATTGAATCATTGAACCCTACTAGAGTGAACAAGATATAATCTTATGAATACACTCAAGATGGTGCTTGGATCTCAGTTTACCGGGACCTAGATCGTAAAGAGCTGATCTTACATTGCTATTATGTTGGTTTGCATCAATAGCTGAATTTAACCTGCAAAAACACGCTCGCTACTGTGAAAATTGATCCTAATTTTCCGCCAAATAAATTTCTAAAAGCTGTGAAGCAAATGATAATATATTTTCTCATTTTATTTTTGAAACGTCTATTAGTCTGCGTGATTTTGGATTTGAATACTTTTACGTACATTTTTCATTCAAGAAATGATGCGTGCAATTGTTGACGTCACCAAAAGATGTGACAGCCAGATTCCATGTTCAGCTTCATGCTAGTGATCAAATTGCTCTGTATATCTTTCATTGTTTCTGGCCAAGAATTTCATCAAGGGACAATATTAAGGA